TTTAGCAGAGAGCTCTTGAAAAGGAGACTATACATTATAGAAATCATTGTGTGACTGAGTTAGAGACCTTTGCCTTCGTCTTCGTTCAAGATTCGGTTACGGAAGTCGCTGACCATACGAGGCAGACCCTCTCGCAGAGAGATCTTTGGTTCCCAGTTCAGAAGTTCCTTTGCTTTGCTTATATCTGGTTTCCTCTTGTGAGGATCGTCGGCTGTGTTCGGTCTGAACTCTATGGTCGCGCTTGGGTCGATCACTTCTTTAACCACCTGCGCACACAAGTTCTCATTTCATACACGGAAATTTGCGTTGCGTGAACCAAACCAAAAGAACCCATTAACCAGAGCTAAATTTTCCCATCTGGATTGCATTTCTCTTTTTGTAGGGGAAGAAAAAGGAAGACGGTAAAAGTAAAGCAAACCTCTGCAAGCTCAAGCATTGTGAATTCTCCTGGGTTACCAAGATTGAAGGGTCCAACATGATCGTTACCCATTAAAGCTACAAGTCCCTCCACCTAGTAGAAAGATAGATTTTGGTATATATCAAGGCAATATATATTTTTCACAGCTTGGAGAAATCAATTATACAGCAGAATGGACTGAAACAGAGGTTGTTGTGTACCAAGTCAGAAACATATTGAAAGCTTCGAGTTTGTTTTCCATCACCATAAACAGTCATTGGGTGTTTGCGGATGGTCTGCCACAGAAATAAAACATAGCTCTGTCAGAGTGTTTTTTTCGAGACTTATAGGAAAACGAGTTGTTTTCTGTTGGTGAAAGAGCTAAACCTGGGCAACAAAGTTACTAACAACACGCCCATCATCAAGGCACATTCGGGGTCCATACGTGTTGAAAATACGAGCAATCCTAACCTGAAATTTGAAAAGGTACTTAGAGACGACTCATATATCTTTGATTTGGGAAAATCGTCATCAGTTGTAAACATTCCAACACTCAACACAAAAAGAAGAAACAAAATCATCAAATGCAAGCATCTTGACAAACAGAGGTGATGGTTTGGAAACTAACTAATACAAAAAGCCATGTGTTAACGAGTATGAGTTGCGAACTGTATAATTTCTCCATCAAGTGTGCTAAGAGTTGCAAGTATAAAATCCATGGGATGCTGATCAGAATTTACCTCGACACCTGCACCTCGGTGATAATCCATGGCCAAGGTTTCTGCAGTACGCTTTCCTTCATCATAGCAACTCCTCTCACCTACAAAAAGATATCAGCAATTAGTGATCATCCTCTCGTTCATAATATAATCTCATGAACTCACGAGCAAATACAGAATTTTCCAACTCACCGATTGGGTTCACATTTCCCCAATACGTCTCCTTCTGCGGATGCTCAAGCGGATCTCCATAGACTTCACTTGTGCTGGTGAGCAAAAACTTTGCCCCAACTCTCTTAGCAAGACCCAACATATTGAGAGTTCCCATTACATTTGTCTTGTAACACAATCGTTAAGGATCCTCATATCATCATTATCCAAATGGAACCATTTCATCACGAAAGATCATAATAGTTGTAAGAGATTTCTAAAGTATATCAGAACTAGCATTGAGGAAGCAAATCACGATTCACGAGCAGCAAAACGATGCAAAATGTATTAAGTAATGAAAAGGATATGATAGTCTTCACTGGATTATACTTGTAATGAACAGGTGATGCAGGGCAAGCTAAATGGTAAATCTGATCGACCTCAAGGAGAATTGGCTCAACAACATCGTGTCGAATAAGCTCAAATCTAGGATTCGAGAATAGATGAACCAAATTCTCTTTCCTTCCCGTGAAGAAATTATCAATCACGATCACTTCATCTCCTCTTCCGATAAGCTTATCAACGAGATGACTACCAACGAATCCAGCTCCACCGGTCACCACGATCCTCAATCTCCGTCCTCCAATACCGACGGGAACCCGACCGGTCTTACTACCGCCTCCGCCGTAATTGAAACTCATTTTAGGAGGCGTGTAATTATCCACGGAAGCCAAGGAAACAGATCTGGTGATGAGCGAGGTGGATTCGGCGGCGCCTAAACGGGAGAGAGAAGGCTGGAGGATGAAGAAAGTGGATCCGATCAAGATCCCGACGAGGATGAATAGGAGTCTTTGTTCACGGAAGAGATAGTGGAGCGATCTAGGGAGAGATCTGGGATGCTTTAAGGCTTTGGGAGAGTAAGGACTGGATTGGCTCATGGGAATCGTCTCGTCGTCGCGCTTCGAGCTCATTTGCTTGTGAAGCTGCTTCATCGTCTCCAATAGAGCTCGTCGTCGCCGGTGAAAATGCGATCGTTGAACTGGCCGGGGGAAAAAAGCTTTGGATCTGGACAGATTCAACAGCTTCAC